CTAGTTCGGGGCGGATGGCAGGGACCAGGCGCACAGCGAGACCAGTCCCTCAAGCAGTGGCAGGTTCCGGCAGCCTACAAGCAGTTCAAGCCTGAGCTTACGTCGATTGGGCGACATCTGACCTTCAAACAAAGCAAGTCGTCGCAGGAGCAAGGCGCTCCGCCCAATACCGCTGCACCGACACCGCAGAAGCAGCTGACCCGATCGGTTGATTCCTATGATCGTTTGGTGTGCAGTGGGAGCACAGGTGACTCGGCGACCTCTACTGCCAATACTGGCAACGACTGGGTCGGCCGCATTGTGTTGCAGAACTCCAACAATCTCTGCTACCTGAATGCCGCTGTTCTCTCTCTCTCTTGCACTGTTCGGACTTTGTGCTGTCTGCTCATCGGGGAGTACAGGCTCTGCGTCGCATTGGCGCCCTGGGGATGTCGGCCTCTCGAGGTGTCCTTCTTACTGCCCAGCTGCAGGTTCGGTCGTTGCTTAGGTCATGGTCCTTTGATGGTCGCCAGCATGATGTGGCCGAGTTCGCCGCAGCTCTCCTTCGGGGTCTGGGCCTTGGTTTGGTGGCTTGGGAAGCTCGTCGACAGGAAGACGATGGAGTCCGTGCCTTGAATTCAGGTGCCCTACCGCTCCTTTTGCCACCACCTTCGAGGGAGTGTATGCTGCAGGATTAGTATACAGGCTTGGCACATTCAGGATTGCATGCATGCTCTATCTGCTGTTCCACCTCCTGGACTCCTTCTGCTACAGGTGGCTCGCCATCAGGAGGGCTTCAAGAGCTTCGTTCCGGTTTGGCCGGATTCGGAGGTGCGACTCCCCTTCCTTGGCAGTGAGCTTGCTGTGGAGTGGCTTCGATGTAAGGTTATGGCAGTGGTGGAGCACCATGGGGAGCAGGTCAGTTCTGGACATTACCGTGCTGTTCTCAGAGGGCTTTCGGATTGGTTGCATATGGACGATGGCGTGTCTGCGACGGTGGTCTCTTTTGATCGTGATCGTGCTGAGCTTTCATACTTGTTCTGGGCAGTGAGGGCTCAAGAGTCGGAGGTATCGGACGCTGGTCTGCCGCAGCATTCTGCGGCTTCCTCGCTTTAGTCTGCGATGTCCACGGAGGAGGCGCCGGATGCGAACATGCTCGAGGGCGAGCAGGAGTGGGACTTCTACACGAAATACTGGCCCAGTGGGCCGGGCATTCCGGCGCCTCCCTCCTCGGAGGGCTCCACTGCAGAGCCGTCGGGAGCGATTGAGGAGCGTGAAGCCAAGGCTGCGAAGCTTCTGGATTCCAAAGGCGGGCAGGGACGTGGCAGCGGCGATGGCAAAGGCTTTGCGGGGAACGGTGGGTCCGACCAAGCGGCTCCCAAGGGCCCTCAGGGGGCGCACAAGCGTCAGCAGCGGGACCTTCCATCGCAGTGGCGCGGCGGAGGTGGCGGTGGAGGTAGCGGGGGTGGATCGGGCAACGGGAATGGCGGCCGGGCTTCGTGGGGCTCGAACTGGCGTGGCAACGATCATGCCGCGGATGGCGACGAGTGGTCCCTCCGGAAGGAGGTGCAGGATCTCAAGTATGCGGTTTCGCTGATGCAGCGCTTGATTCTGCGCCATGAGGATGCCTCCATCTTGGCACGTATTGAAAGCAGCTTCGTCCTTCACTTCAAGCTCAATGTGCCGGCGTCTGTGGTGCCGATGCTGTTTACCTCGGCGGTGGCCTGGCGGAAGATCAAGGCTGAGGAACCGCAGCGCTTGGATCGCCCGATGCGCTGTGCGTTACTGGTTTGTCTGTTTGCAGAGCTCAAGGAGCGCATGTCCACCGGAGCGGTTGGAGGAGATGGCCAGGATGGGTTGGCTGGCGGTGGGGCCGCCAGTGGTGTGGCACTTCATGCGCTGGGATGCGGCCAAACAGCTGCAGGTCGTGGACACCTCGAGCCCTCCTCTCAGCCAGGCGGAGATCTTGGAGTACGTTGGGCGTCTCATCACTTTGATCCCGCGGAAGTTCACCACGGCGCGGTTTCACCCGACGCGGCCGATGACGCAGGTGATGACTGGTCAGAACCTTGTTTTCCTGCTCCAGACGGGCCAGCATGGGGAATCATCCGCTGAAATGCGGGACATGCTGCGGAAGCTTTGCTATTGCTCTGTCATGCATTTGCTTGCTGCTCAGCTTAAAGAAGACCGGCATGCACGCTCCGCGCTGGCGAACGCTATCGCGGACTACCTGAGCAAGTACTCTGGCAACCGCTGAAATCCACGGCTGAGTGCTTCGCTGATTTTTGGGATTCGCTTGGCAGCTCGCTGCGGGATCCGCTTTTGGTGAATGCCATGACCCCGTATTTCTCTCTGGAAGTGGTAATAGCCGTGCTTCTGGTAGTTTGCAGCGGGGCTTTTTTGATCTATGTTGCGAGCTTTTGCGTTATGCAGCGTTCGAAGCAGTGCTGCCTCACCAGGTGCCGATGCAGTGCTAATTCACAAGGTGCTGACGCCCACTGGGAGGAAGCAGGTGACAACAGCATGTGTTTGTGTTCGCAAACGCTCTGCTCTCCACTGGATGCTGGATGCTTGGTTGCGCGGCTCTGAGGTGTGCTCTTTGGTGTACGTGGGCATCATCATGCAGGTTGCCTTGGTCAGCGCCTCGTGACTCCGACTGTGTGCCTTACCAACGCTTGGTGAGCCTACAGCATTGCATGTTCTGGCAGCTGATCTATCCCGCTCTGTTCTGCCTCTTCGTTATGCGGCATGCTGTGGTCATCTTCTTGGTGGTTGTCCATTCTCACAATGTTGCTCGAGGCTTTGGCAGTGCAGCTCTGATTAGGGTCCCGATACATGTATCATGGCGGACACGGTCTCTCTGCTGGGTTCTGATTTGGAGTGCGAACTCGTGGACCTCACCTCCGACGAGGAGACCCTCGTAGGGAGCCCGGTGGAGATCGCGCGCAGCTCAGAGATCCTTGCGCCTTTCATGACGCAGCCGTCCTATGTGTAGCATGGGGTGTACTGTGCTGGTGCTCGGGCTCTCATGCCGACGGAGGTGGATCTAAAATATGATTTTCTTCAGTTGGACTTGTACTTGGTCAGGGGGGTTCAGGTTGAAACGCTTCAGTATCCTTCAGATGATCCGGCGGAGCTCCTCGCTTTTTCCATGGTGATCCATGGGCAGGCTAGCTGGAAACAGCTGTTGCGTCTGACTAATTTGCTGCCAAGGGATAAGAATCTGCGCTGGAGCCAAACCGAGGCGTACCACTACGGGGGCATGGAATCGGGGGCCTATGACAGGTCTTACCCTTACCACTCGCCCTTATCCGTGGGTGACGTGTGTGCTGGCAGGCATTGTTTCTACATGGGATGACGCATTGTGTTTTAGCACGGTTACTCTCACCCTCAACGTGGCGGCGCAGCCTCACCGAGATCGTTACAACCACAGCGCATCACAGAATCTGGCCATGCCTATGTCTCGCTCCTTGGGAGGGGGGCTGTTTGTGGAAGATTCTGAGGGGCTCTCGCAGCTTAGTCCCGATGGGCCGAAGGGTCACCTTGTGGATATGACAGCACCGACTGCTTTTTCCCCTAGGTCGTTGCACGCCAGTCTTCCATGGGTTGGCACTAGGCTGATACTGATCGCGTACCATATTGGGCAAGTTCGCAGAATTTCGGAAGCCAATCGGAGGTCTCTCAAGCATTTGGGATTTAAGCTGGGCCACTTTGACTGAGCATGCCATCGCAATCGAGCCGCACGAAAAACCAGCTCTTGGCAGTGGAGATTGCTGGGGCGATGTGGTGTGGCGGACTGCAGGGCGGTTAGTCTCTTTTTCAACTGAGGTCATGCGCAAATTGGAGAGTCCGGCTCCTGGATTGCGGTGCATTCGGTGGTGCGCTGCTCGTCATGCGGGCCTTCAGGCGACTTCGTGGCTTGCCTCCTGCATCCTCATTGAAGAGTGATCTGTACCAGTGAAGTGGGCGGTAGGTAGTGGGCTGCGAGTGTACTTCTTATAACATTGCTCGCTGAGCTCAGCCTTCTCGATTCTGTTCCAATTTTTACCTGTTCCAATTTTTATTTATTCCAGACTTTGCTTCCACAGTTCGCAATATTCTTGGTCGCTGCACTTGCTGCTGGGCTGCGGCTCGGGCTACTGCGTACTTGGCCCCAAGGGGCGGCGCAGGGTGTGGCACTTTTGTTTCGAGGTTATCTAAGATAACGCTGCAATGCAGCCGAGCTCCTATGCTTGCTCGCTAGCACGCGAGGTGGACCCCGAGACGTTCGTCGCGACTCCAAAGCCAAAGCCAAAAAAGTAGTAGTAGTAGTAGTAGTAGTAGTAGTAGTAGTAGTAGTACTAGTAGTAGTAGTAGTAGTAGTAGTAGTAGGAGCAGCAGTAGTAGTAGTAGCAGTAGAAGTAGTAGTAGTAGTAGTAGTAGCAGCAGCAGCAGCAGCAGCAGCAGCAGCAGCATAGTATTCGTAATCATTCATTAGTACTTACACTTGCTACCGCAAGTAGTAGAGGACGCTCCCCTCCCCTGGCCCCCCCAAAATGGCTTCGCGTGCAGCCTCAGGTCGCAGGCAGGAAGCCAGGAACCTAATCAAACTACCTTTCGTTTTTATTAAGCTGCACTTCCTTTATGCGTTCCCCCCGCCCCCGCCCGTTCGGAAATCGTTTGGGCAGATTTGTCGGCCTTAGCTTGGGTGTATGAGTCACATGCACCGAGCAGCTCACGAGAGCCATGCAGGATCCTTACACCAACAAGAGCGAGAACTGCGACCGAACTTGGTTGGAGCGGCCTCCTGCCAAAGAGACGCTTGGTATGGCGACAACATGCCAGCAATGCGCATGGATCGGAAGTGAATAGATGGCCGTTTCGAGCTGAAGTGCTGAGGCGCGAGATTGCTTTGGGCTTCTTTCCTGACTGCCCAAGGTGGGGATGTGTCCTCCTAAGTGAGATATTTCGCGCGAAGCAGTCTTCGATCCCTGCTCTTGCAGGGCTCAGCAGCCAAACCAGGGCTGCCAGGCCAACAGCCTCCTGCGCTCGGCTGTGCGTGCCGGCGACGTCGTGCCGCGTGTCTAGAGGGACGGAGGTCGTGCAAGGAGAGTGGAGGTTTGTCCTCTCATAGACAGCCGGACAAATGCATGCAGATGTTGCAACTGTCTGCCTCCGATAGTGGTCGTGTATCTACCGGGCCCAGATCTGAGGCGAGTGCGAGAGTTGCTTCGTGACAGCACGCCGGCAGATGCGAACTCCTGGGAAGCTCGAAGAAGAAAAACGAAGCACCCTTTGCCTGAACTTCTTTTTCGAGCCATGTGCATTCAAGGATGAGTTCGGCCGGCGGCCACTGCACGATCTGTGCGAGACTGCTGCGACAGGTGGAACTGGGCCGTGAAGCCCGAAACTGTAGTCGGGAAGGGTTGTGGAGCGGTTCTTGTTCTTGGTTTTTGTTGTTGATGTTGCTGCTGCTGCTCTCTTACTCCAGGCCGGGGCCAATTGGGCACACTCCGCCTTGCTGCTGAGCTCATGTTGGCACACGGCGATCCTCGTGCCCAAGCAGCTCGGACTGAACAGGAGGGCCCTAATGCTGCAGGCAGTTGCCGGCTCAAGCCGCTGCAAGCTGCAACCAAGGACAAGGCTGGCAAAGCTGCCCTTGACCATGCAAGGAGCTCCAAGGCTGAGCTGGGCTCGATTGAGTCGACGACCTCCTTGGCGCGGAAGCCCTTCCTGCGAGAGCTGACTGCACTGCTGGCAGCATGCTCTTTGCAAGGTGTCACTGAGGATGGATTTGCAGACCCCGCTGGACTGTTCCGTGCCTTGGAATATCTCGGCGAGCCACTGCGCAGCCAGATCGCCCTAGGAGTTCTTGGACTGGCAGCGCTCCGACCCATTGGCCCTGCAGAGATGAAGTGGCGCAATCCCGGTCCTGGATTGGAAGAGCAGCTGGCTGCACTTGATGACGAGCTGGCAGCTGTGAAGCGTTTGAAGGAAACTTCGCAGAGACGCCGGGCTCTCAGACGCTTGCTCTTCGAATGGCACCCTGACAAGAACGGCCATCGACATGAGCTTGCCAAAGCTGCATTCCAACATATTCAAATGCAGAAAGCCGATATCCTGGAAAAGGGACAGGCAAAGAAAGGCTAGAGGAGGTTGCCCCCGCGACCACCAATCGTGCTGGAACACCCCCGCGATCCGTCAAGCAGCTGGACCTTGATCTTGAAGGGATCGCCGCTGGCCCGGCAAGACCAAATGCTACATCATCAGCATTGACGAGCTGTCGAAATGATTGTGGGCCACTCGCCCACATGCACCTCTTGGACTACTGTGTCTCAGGAACCGACCGAGTTTTCGATGAGATTGCAAGGCTTTGGCTTTGCCGTCTGCGTTGCATCACGGGAGCGGCAAAAAAACCAGGATGCCCAGCGAGCACCACGCCGGGATGGCAGCATTGAAGGTTTGTCTGATGTGTTGTCAGCTTTCAAGTCGAAAGCTCCGTTGCACCGTGGGGGTGTCATATCCGTAAGACTGCTTGCGCGGTTGAATGTATACGCCGAGCCATGGTAAGAAAGTGTTTGGACTGTGATTTGATGCAGGACATGGTGCGCTTGTTGCGCGGTGCGCAAGCGCCCGTGATTGCTGCCTTCTGGCTGGCACTGGCATTTGGGCACACCGCATTACATTGCTTCGCGGTGTCGTGACTTGTCGTGGTGTTGCTTTTGCAAGCGCAGCCTTGCCATGGAGTTCAGGTCGACATGTGTGGCGAGCTCATCGAGTGGAACGACAAGGCCAGCCCTTCCGCTGTACTTGTTAAACAGATAGTCTGTTCTGCAGTGCAGAAATAAATCAACATGAGTTCTGAGGTGTCCGAGTCTATTGCTGAACAGGTTGCAGCAATCACAGGCTTCTCCCGCCAGGAGGTACGACCAAGACGATGCATGCTGATCAACTATCAATCCGATGTACCTAATCTATTTTAGACCCCTTCAGGTCTTGGGCCGACCTTTCCTGCAAGACTTTGTTGTCGAGGGAGTTGAGGCCGTGGCCGCCAGCTCCGGAAGTCTTCGTCAGGTTTGAGAATAAAATACTCTGCGGCCCGTGTGGGCTACCCAACCCTTTCGGCGCAGTGCCTCGAGAGCCTCCGCCTAGTGCGAGTATCACACTCGCCTTTGACAGTCGCTGAGAGCCCAGTCATCAATCCTTCGCCAGGTTTTCGAGGCCGCAGTGGCCGCAGCCATCCGTCACGGCGAAGAGGCACCTGGTCTGAATCCGTGCATAATGCCAGCTTCGGGGCGGCAGTCAGGCGATGAGTTTGCGAATCGTTGCCAGGACTTGGGTGAGTTTGAACTCATGCTCCGGACGAAAAGTGACGGGAAGGCCATGCATGCGAGATCACAGACCAGGTTGCAGCTCTTGGTCGTTGTGCATCAATTGTCCACTGGTGCACTAGCGTGCTGCAGAGGCTATTCTGAGAATGAGCGGCGCCACTTTCCGGGACACTCAGGGTGAAGTTGGAGGTGGGCACACGCACAGCCCGGCACTGTCCGAAGTGGACTGATGCTCCGACATGTTTCCTAACGAAAGGTGTGGTGGCCTGCGGGCAGGATCTGACCAGCATCAGGCAAGATTCCCAGGAAAGAAAGCACTGCCGACCGGTCAAACTCCAAAGCGAAGAGGGTGGGACGCACTGGTGGCCAGTGTTTTTCGGTGCTTTGCAACGGTTTTTGGCTACATAAGCCTTTTCGGCTTGTGATTTCAGACACATATCTCCACGTGACAATCCCTGGCTGTTTCGCAAAAAGGTCTGAATTTACGAGAGAGAGCGAGACAGAGAGAGTTTCAGGCTAGGGGGGCTTCCCTCTAGCCCATAGCCCTGACGAAAGAAAAAGTTTCAGGTTCTCCACGTAAATGGAAAGGTAGAAAAAACACGATACAGCATGCAGAACGCACGAGAATCGCGGCCTCCAGCATGTTCTACTTCAGAATATATGTATGTATGTATGTATGTATGTATGTATGTATATATATGATAGTATATACAGGGAGCGTTTTTTAAATAAAATTCCTGACTTTTCATTGCGCCATGGTTCGGGAATAAAGGCCAGCTTTATCAGAGACAAGCTCGCGATTTATCAAAGAGATGTGCGTGCATTATCAATGTGCGGGAATTATCATTCACATGTGCAGGTTTGGTTTAGGGTTTAGGTGAGGGTTGCGTAGGCGCTGGCCAGCACCTCAGTCCGTGCTGAAGAAGGTTCTCCATGTGCCTCAAAAGCCCCCTGCCTTGCGCCTGATGATCCCGAAAATCCGGCGCAAGTGCTTGATAACGCCGTTCCACCTGTTGAACCATGGCGCCTGAAAATCATCACCCTGTATGTGTGTACGTATATGTGCATGCATGCATGCATTAACGTATGTCTGTCTGTCTGTCTGTCTGTATGTATGTATGTATGTATGTATGTATGTACTGTATTAATGTATGTATGTATGTATGTATGTATGTATGCATGCATGCATGCATGCATGGATGGATGGATGGATGGATGGATGGATGGATGGATGTATGTATGTACACACATTGCATAGGTACAGACGAACAAATGCTCGCTACTTGATTGTAGGTTTAAGCCAAGCTCTGTAAGGGCAGCAGTCGAGTCCCTTGTGAAAAAAAGCCGAGCTCTGTTGGCCGACACATTGCCTGCCCTGTGTGGATCCTGAGCCTGACCGGTCAAGGAACAGCATGCAAGAGGCGACACGGACAGCAGAGGATCTGCAAAGGCGGGCTGGAGCAGCCAGTGTGGATGCTGCAGTCTATCTTCAACAGCCCTTGACAGGCTCATTGAGACTGCGCATGCCTGCATCGTGGGCATAGATCCTGCCGGTAACGTCAACGAATGGAACCATCACATTGTGTGTGCCTCAGGGGCAGGTCGAACAGGGTCCTTCTGGGGCTATAGTTGTTTTGCAAGTACTAGTCATCTTGGCCTTAGAACCGGCGGCATGTCCTGTCGAACTAAATCATCTCAATAACACTGGGGAGGCCACGCGTCCAACTCCAGTCATCGAACCTGGGAAAGGTTGGACGGAAGCAACACGACAAGACTCAGCCGGCATGCCGGCCTGATCCTGCAGGGCGGAGCCCGCATCTGTCTACTGAGTCATGGGTGCCATCGGGGAGGATGGGCAGGCAAAAGGACCCTTACTTAAAAAAGATGGTGCAACAAAGCTGAAACCCTGATCTGGCCGGCCTCAGTTCTTGCTCAATACAAATAATTTCGAGCAACCAAGATCACTCACCTTCGTCAGGACACACTCAGGCAAGCATTCCTTTATGCGTGAGCCAATGCCATTCCGGATCGTAGCATTCATAAACGCATCATTCAGGGGTATCTTGGGCTCATGCTATTTGACAGAGCGAGCGAGCGAGGGAGAGAGAATTGATGGAGGGGGCAGCGCACTGCGAGCGTTGGGGGGGCTGCTTTCAACCCAAGCCGCGAACACAGCAAAGCAAACAGATGTCATGGGATGGTGTCTCACTGGGGGCGTGCAGTGTGATCGCAAACAAGGTTTCCGGCCCGACAGAAAACGGGGATAAGGGGATTGCTCTGTCTCAATGCTGGCGAAAGAATGGGGTCATTCAGCATTCCATGTCTGTCGTTGAACAGGTCCTGTCACAGCCAGCGCACGGGGGCAAAACTGGCAAAGCATGAGCTGGCAGCATCAGGAAGCCTAGGGGCGGGGATTTTGTTCGGGGTTGACGCGGTTGGGGGCTCGCAGCTCAAGCTCCTGGAACCAATGGCCTGAGTGTCAGCACAGAAGAAACAAAGAAAGGGAAGTGATGGACACTCTGGCCTCAGACTAGCATAGCCATGGCCACTCGTCCAGCAGTCTGGCACACGAAAGATGTGAAAGATGAGGCTCAGCTGTCTGGTTGGTCCAAGGAGGACCGGGGCTTTCTGTGTCATGCACCGCTCAGCCTGGAAAGGGCGTTCGCAGACTTGTAGAATCTTGCGGGTGTCACAGGCTGCATTTCGAGCTTTGCAGACATTGTGCTGCTTGCTACGCCGCTAAGCTGCTTTGCATGTCGCGAAAACATGAGCAACAACCTTCTCAGCTCTGCAGCCACAGTGCGGCCTTCGTGGCTGCTATGCCAGGACACAATGGGCAAACGTTTAGTCGACAATTTCGTCCTAAAGGAGGATCAGGAGGCCAATGCCTCAGACCTGCCGCTTTTGCATCAGTGAAGCGTGGTCTCAGCTCCGTCGAATCGCTTCGTCCGAGAAGCAGTTCGCAGTCTGTTTCACAAGCCGTTCTTCTCGGCTTGGCATGTGGGTGTGGGTCAGGCAGTGTCCAGGCTGCTGCATTCGGCCAGCGGTAAGCGTCAGGGTCGGCCTAGGGCTGGCATAGGCCAGGGGTAGGACGAAACTAGAATTGGCCTAGAACAAGGAAGTAAAACAGGATCAAGCCTAGGGTGGGGCAGGCCCAGCAGTCAAAGACCTGGATGCAAAAGGCCGAGCGACATAGCAAAGGTCGAGCTAAAGGGCAAGCCCTAAAACAAAGCCTTAAACGCCCTCTGTTCGCCGGTCGTTCTGTTGTATGCATGCATCCAGTGTGTCAGTGATGGGAAACTCGTGCGTGTCAACTTGCAAGTTTCAGTCGTTTTTGACATAGGCAGTGGGGCTTAGCTTTCATATCAAGTGAACTTCCTTCCAGCTACACAGCCCACTTCAAATGACTTGACTATTTTGGGCTTTCCCCAAAAAGTTCCAAAATAACCAACACATGCGTATGTTCGCCTATTCTTCAGGGTTTGTGTTCAGTATGATTATGGGTTTCCCCAGAGCGCCCAAAAGTATCCAAAGCATAGGCAAATCTGCCTACTCTCGGGTTTGGTGAGTGTTGCCTTGATTTTCGGGTTTGGAAGAGCACCAAATCGCAAATCTAGGTGAGTTGATTAATTTTGAGCTTCCCAAAAGTAGCCGCAGCCCAGATTTGGCATTTTGGCTTTTGACTTTTGTCGGGCTTGGGGAAGCTCCCGAATCTTCCCAAAGCACACCCAAGGAGCCAACACAAGTCTAGTTTGCGCTTATCTGTCAGCCAAAAAGGTGGTGTTTTGACAACCCTCAGCTTTCCCAAAGCGCACAGAG